TTATTATTATTATTATTATTATTATTATTATTATTATTATTATTATTGTTATTATTATTATTACTAACAACATCAAGATTAATTAAAGTTACATTTAAAGCACAAACTTGTTTCTGTTTTACATCAAACTACATCTGCTTTTGAAGTTATGTAGGAGGCATAACTGTATTTGTAATATAGGCCTGGTTAAAAATATTTTACACAAACAGTTATATTTACGGTGTCGTCCCGTCCCTTGCTCCAAAAATAACACATTCCCAAGTTTAGTCCCTCCAAACTCTCCAACCAGAACTTATCAAAACGAGTCCGGCACAGGTTTATTCTGACAAGTGCCTCTGACTTATAACGGAGTCGCTCTGGTCACTTAGTGAAAATTGACAAAATCCCAAAGTCAAACCCAGTGATTTTTAAATTTGTTATTATTGTTATTTCTTATTTGCATATGAAAAAAAACAAGTTTCCCAAGGAGGCTTACCGACTTTGACGCGCTGCAGAGCGTCGGTCCTCCTGGTCGGTCGGCACCGCGCGTCGCCACAGTTTGCAGGGCAGCGCTCAGCAGGACCCAGCTGAACCTCAGAGGACAGACCATCGCGCGGGGGGAAACTTCTCACAGCTCTCGATGAACTTTTATCCCCTTCTGCACAGAGTGGCTTTTTTTTTAATTAGCTAAGAAAAACCCGCCAGTGGTGGGCTCACATGCGCAACTCGGCCGGAGGACCATTCCGCCTCTCTCTGTGCCGCGTTCACTTACGCACTCCGCCTCTGGGTTTATTGTGGTACGGTTTTTTAAGAATTTCTCGTGGCTCCCTCCAGCCAGCAGTTCGTGAAACGGGAGGGACGCGTCTTTTTGGGAGATTGCGATCCTTAAGTTTAGGAGCGTCTTGACTGGGTGAGAGAGAGGTGGGACGATAGGAGTACCCCCACCCTGTTACATACGAGATATGCACAGACGTACAAGCTTCTTTTGGAGAGCAGGTTCACACCGGGGGTGAAAGGTTTGCGAGAGTAAAATCCCTGAATACGTGCAAGGCGCAAAGTGGCTGAATGGTAAAATTGTAGCGTTTATAAAGGCAAGGAGAGTTTATTTGCACAGAGCATTTCGTGTACAAGACTAGTGCTTTCAAAATAATTTAAAAGCATAAAAACAAAGAAAGAAAATGCATTGTTTTTTAAAAGCAAAGGTAAAATTGTGTGAGAAATCATTGTAACGAACGGAGGTCAGTGTTGCTGAAGCTTTCTAATCGTTCACTTTGACGTGTCTTTGTTATGCCGTAGAGGTTTAACGTGTTATAACTTTTGCAGAAGATCTGGAAAATGTTCAAACATTCATTTCGTATGACCGAATGCTAGTAACTCTTATATACAATCCTATAAGAAAGATACTGGCAGCCCAAAGGTTTATTTTTGCCTACTTTCAAATGACTGGCCCTTTTTTCAAATGTTGTCATCTTCCCTTTTTCTTAAGGATTGCATTTATCTTTGTGTTTTTTCTGTTTTACCATACTTTGCATGGGGCCAGACTACTTAAATGAAACCTTAATTTATTATTAATAGTGACAAATTAATAGCTTCAATAGGGGTATAGCTGTGTGAGGTATTTTATGTTTGCATGCAGAACTCCTTTTGAGATTTATTAGCTGTAAAGTGGAGCGGGCAGATCTGAAGGAAACGCCAGTGCTGAGAGAAAGGGAGCCCTCTCTACGCAGACCAAGATGTCTGTAATCTGCACCTCTGCTGTGACCTCAGTTATTGTCCCAGTGGCAGACAGCGTGACTGTCAAGTAGTAGAAATGTTATCATGAGGACCCCCTCGAACAAGTTACAGCAGGCTCCTCCCAGCAGGCCGGTGGCAGACAGACCTCAGACAAACTGCTCTTTGTCCTCGGTGGTGTTCTCCCCTCCTCTCCACTCCTCTTCTTACCACTCCGGATTCACCTCTGCTGCTGAGCAGCTCGAGAAGCAGCTGACTTTCCCCTCTGCACCCCGATAGTGTTTTCCATCAAAATGACTGGCCGTCTGTGCCGAGTGCCTTTGATCAGGTTGACTTTTTAACAAAGTTTCATGCTGTAAAACTGGGACATTTCTGTCCTTTGACCCTTAGACAACTTTAACTGGGATTGATCAGGATTTGAAAAGAAGTGGAAAAGTTGTGTTTTTCTCTTACTGTCACAGTTTTGAAGTAAATGAATACAAAGGAAGGCATGTCAATAAATTAAACAATAGTTAGCTTCCTTATCCCAAAGTGACCACCTGTGGATTTAGGTACGAGCTTAAACCACACCTTGCAAAAAGTCTTCTCTGACAAGGAGCTTTTAACATTCTTTGCCAGTGAGAAAAAGGCAAATAAGTGGTTGGCTACAGGAGATTGAAATGTTTAGCAAACTGTTACTGGAGCTGAACCAGGTTAATATACTTTTTTTCTCTGGGTATTACATGGAGAGATGTGCAAAGTGCACAGGGAGACAAAATAAGAGACTTTGTCAATGTTTATGGCCTAGCAGCTGTAAAACGTATGCTTTCTGATGCTTTGCAGAAATGTATAAAAAATACCTACCAATACATTTTGTATTGGTGTGCATACACATTGCAGTTCATCTCAGTCAGATTCTCAGTCCTGCACACTACTTTAAAAAAAAAGGGAGATGCATATGCTTTCACTGATCTTTGGAGATGAAAGGGTCCTGTTTTTTATTGTGTGCAGAGAGACCTCTGGTGGTGTTAGGGAGAATTAAGATTAACCACCACATGGGCAAAGACAAGAGGAGCAGAGGAAGATGGGTAACTTGAGGGCAAAAGAACATCACTTCAAAGAAATTGTGATGAGTATGATGAATATGAAGGTTTGGCTTCTTGCTTGGGGCAGATATATATTCAGACGGGCAGTCAGCATGGCAGCAAAGGTCACACTTGTGTTGTCATCTGTTCTGCGCTGAACTGCACACACACACACACACACACACATACACACACCCTTTGCTACCTCCACCCACCTCTTGCTCAGGCTCCAATATCCTCAGTTCTGCTTTGAAGATGCAAAGGAATAACACTGACTGAGTCTCTGGAGAAATATTATTGTAATCTCCCTTATTGGATGTCCTGGGAAAAAAGAGGGGTAGAGTAAAGGATAGGAGTCGGTCGAGACAAAGGACAATAACATTTGACTGAAAATATCAAAGAATACCACAAGCGTTGTGTCGTGATAGGTTAAATTGTATCCGTTTAAAAAATAAGGGCGAGTCAAGTTAAGAAAAGTCTGCTATCTCTGTGTTTGTTGGTCCTTCACAATTCACGCAGAGACCAAAGACTCATTTAAATTGTTTAACCCCAGTCACAGCACTGATATCTCCCATGGTACATCAACACGTGCAGTGGAGGGCTATCGGTCTATCTTTATCTTCCACAGTGAGCAAAAGCAGGACTGAAGAGATGAGAGGAAGAGATAAAATAACAGGGGCAACACTCATGGTCGTTTTACATATGCAGCCAGTTATCCTGTTTCTTTTCAAAACATCTACCTTTGTTCGGCGCGAGGTAAGAAAGGAGGTAACTGGCTCTTAATGAGAGTGAAATCTTACTATGAGTGATCAAACTAATTCCTTAGAGGAGAGGGAAATATATAAAGAGGTGACACGTTCATGTAGTGAAGATACACAGCGTATTTACAGAATACACACACAGACTTCTTACTTTAGTACTCTTTAATACTTTTCTAACTTTAGAGTATATAACAGTGAAAACAATGGTGTATTGAGGTAATACATTTATATTTACACCAAAACACAGGGACTGCTCAGAATTAAAGTGTACAATAAGAATATGTTTCTTTTCTGGCAGATCATTAAACAAGAGTCTATTGTTACTCCTCACAGTTGTTTATTTGATAGAATAGAGTTAGTCAAATACCAAAACAAAGCTGTATAAGGCTGAAAATCTCCAAACAGACATCAGATATTTAATTAATCTGAAGATCTACTCTCCACCTCTGGCTAACTCTTGATTTTAGAATTGTTTATTATAAACTACTATCTAAAATGTACTTGATTTTCATGAAATGTACTTGATTTCTTATTTTTCACTTGTTATGATAGAATAAAGCCATCTTAAAAATGAACTATTGAATTTTTCAAATATATTTCGATACTTTAAGATATAGGAATAGATAGATAGATAGATAGATAGATAGATAGATAGATAGATAGAT